TTTCCGGGTAATAATGCCTATCGGCCAACTCTGACTGGTTGGGTATAGTAATGATGATTTTAATCAGGAATCACGATGTTTTCCACAAAGTCAGTAGTCCTCCAACGGTTTGGTTCATGGACGGTCTGTTTCGGGTAAAGAAATATAGAACCTTGTGTGCTTGCTAACTGAGCGGCCATGATGCATTGATCTAGAATGATTTGTTACTGTCTTTAAGCCAAAGTGAGTCAGTGAGAAGGGACCTTGCCTGATTGGCCCAAAGGTTTCGGCTATGGAGCAATGGGTATTCTGACGCTTCACCATGATCTATATTAATGTGAGGTTCAGTTCTCTCCTCCTGCTCCACTTATAATTATGTCTGTAAGAAGAGCTCATTGTATGGCCTAAGATCTGTATGGTCTATGGTGTCAACAAAAAAAAAAAAAAAATAGCTACCGAATCAACTTTTTTATTTACTGTGTTTCTGATCATTTCATTTGAGATCTTCTTTGTTTTAAGAAGAATAAGTATAAAAAGTTTATACTGAATATAAGAAATATTTTAGAATGTATTAATGATACTTTTGGACATTAACAGCTAAATATAGAGATATTTATATTCATCATTTAAATAAATTGTTGGCCAAAAGTCACTAACATTCATTTTTATTCAACTTCCTTTTATTATTGCTGAAGATTATTCAGTTTCTAGACCAATTTTGAAATATAAATATTAAAGCTCTTGAAACCGAATTGTCGGCAATAATAAAAGAAAGTTAAATAAAGTTAATTTTATTCTTATAACACAAGCCAAATTTAAAAAACAAAATAAGACTATACTGAGTTATTTGCCAAACTTAATTGTGATTACCCCAATGTAACATAATAAAAATTAAAAAAACTATAATAGCTATTGTTTTAAATTTGACCTGTTCGCAAAGTGGGAGGAAAAATAAAATTTGATGAAGAAAGTTCAAAAATAAAATTAATCTTGTTACACTTTGATAAAACTAAAATATTTAGCGATAGAAACAAAAAAATTTTTTAGATTTATAGTTTTGGTTTTTAAAAACTCATTTAAGTAAATAAATTTCCTATATTTTTAATACTACATTTCGTTTAATTTCAAGAATGTATCAGCTAACACTTTTTTAACCCTTATGTTGTTTTGAGGTCATCTTTATTTGTATTTCCAAAAAAAAATAAAAATAAATAAATTGGCAAACTATTTATTATAAAATTTTGGTTTTATCTTTTAATCGTTCTGAACATTATCAAGTCTTCTATTACAAATTTGGAATAAAATTAAAGTTAATAAAAGGCCTTGAGCCTGTGATGGCCAAGTATGTTAAGGTGTTACCTTTGGAACCTCGAGTCAGAGACAGTGCTGGTTCGAATCTGGTATATGTGAGATAAAATTTATTTTGTCGCAAACTTAGGGAATGAATCTCTCCTCACCCTGGTCAGATTAGTTTTGTTACCTATAAGATAACCTATCCTTCTTACAGTTCTTAGATTACTTAAGCACATTAAACTCAAACAAGTATTTTTATTTATTTCAGTTTTATAAGAGATTACTATAATACTTCTTGTAGATATTTGGCCATCTGAACCAGCTTTCTCCTTGGTCATGTATCTTGGTCTATAGGTTTCCAGTTTGCTGTATCTCTGCAGCATCTTTGTGAATTCTATCAATCCATCTGATTTTCGGTCTCTCACATTGTTTTGTAGAGGATTCCTAATGGATTGTTTCAAGCTACATATCCTGGCTATCTTAACCTCAATGCTTTCAGATCATGAGATATTGATGGACCATTTTCTGTCAGCAGTTTTTTATTGGTCCTTCTCCTTCAGCGCTATTCTCATCTCAGATTGTTCACGTTAAAAATATTCTATGAAATTTAAAAGATTAATAAACTTTTCTTCTTTTTGCATTTATTACACCTTATTTGATACAGCATTATCCAGTAAGTTATAATTTAATATATTCTTGTTCTTCCGTAATTACTAATATTAATTCTTGAATAAATTATGGTAAACATTGGCATATCCTTATTTATCATGATAATTTACCTCTTACATATACTAAGAGGGAATCTAGATAGCCATTTTGAACATAATATTAAATATGTTCCTAATATCTAAAAGATGACCACAAAATCTCGTAAAAAATTATATATTGCATATTATTTACATAGTATCCATTTATGTGTGGAGTAGGTAGGATTAATGTGGAAGAAAAAAAATACAGTTTGTATTATGTGTATTTTAGGCCAACAAATTTAAGAGGAGAACCTTATGGGTGAAGCATTAACAGAAGTTAACAAAAACTTCTCTCTCTAAATAACTTCAGACAGCTCCCGTGTCCAATATACTATATTTTTGTTTTTAAACATTTTTTTTTACTTCTTTTAATTGTGTGCGCTAATTCGTAAGTTGATTTGTCACTTAAATAACAGCAGTTTATTGTTAGCTGCATGTGTGTACTAAAATGTCCTCGAATTGTTTGCTTTGTGCGTATAACTTTAAATTACAAACAAATTTTAACAGATTTAAAATTAAATATATGACAGGATAGTTCTTTATGGATAAACTATTAATTGTTGTATTTTAATGATACTTTGAAAAAGATTAGGGTGTCATTTGCTTTTAGTGATGAAAAAATAAAAATAAATTGGTTTTGATGTCTTTTATGTTATTGCGAATTGAGTGTGCAGGAAGTTATAAGAGTAGCTTTTGATACGTATGGATTTTATAATATAAGGGTAACAACGTAGATATCTTCCTCAGAACATATGGATCATTATAATTAATATTATTTGTTTAATATAACTTTATTATTTCGCAGAACACCTTTAACAAACCCATTATATTTCACTCAAAACTTTATTTCTTATTTTTACATTCCTCTATGTTTCAGACAACTTTGCCCATTTTCAAGTCTAGAATATCTGAGGATCTTCTGAAAAGTGATTTGAAATCCATTTAAATATTTTCTTAACAGGTTTCGTCTAAAACATAATTTAAAATCCATTCAAATGTTTTCATACCAGGATCATCTAAAAAATAATTTAAAATCCATTCAAATGTTTTCTTAACAGAATTGTTAAAAAAATTATTTAAAATCCATTTAAATGTTTTCTAAACAGGATCATCAAAAAATAATTTTAAATCCATTTAATGTTTTCTTAACATTTAAAGAAGATCCTCAGGTATGATTCTAGACTTGAAAATGGGCCAAGTTGACCGAAACATTGTAGAATGCAAAAATGAGAAATAAGTGAAATAAAGTTTAGTGGGAAGTATAATGGGTTTGTTAAAGGTGTTCTTCGAAATAATAAAATTATATTGAATAATTATATGCTCTTGAAAATTTAGTATTAATAATTTTATGTGAATATTATTTGTGGTATTAGAGAAAATTTGATGAATTGGATATTAAATTAATTTTGTGGTTTGTTTTCTCAATCACAAAACTTATTACAAAAGTTGATAATTGTCATAATTATGTTTTTTGTATGAAAGAATTGTTTTAATAAAAATTGAAGTCTTTAAAATAAACAAGCATTTGTCCTAATGAATCCAAATTTATAGTTCTATTCTACTGGGATGGTCTGTATTTTATAAAAGGATGCTGGAGAACTATTTGTTTGTATACAAATTTATGGTAAAGGGTGGAAGTCATTCATTAGTGCTCTAATTTATACATCAATGATTCTATTCATTAATAGGGAGTAACTCCTTGCCATAAACAATTTTTCTCTAATGGTTGCAAGAACTGTTTCAAATTTAATTTTTATTATAAAGGATTTAGGTATTCAAAACTTCCTTGTCTTCTTTCTTATTATTTAAATCATCACATTCAAGTTACTTTTAATATTTGTTAGGATTATAATCCCGTTTTCAAAATCATCTTTCTCTAAATAATAACAAGAATGAGATGGTATGGTTCTGAAGATAGGGTTATAAACTAACTTTCTATTAACTTACATCAATTCTCTAAAAAGTTTATATTATATTGCAATGAATTTGTAATTGTATGATAATATCATTGAATGATTGATGATATTTACACCATAAACTTTCTTATTTCCTCCTATTATTTTTGATATTTCAAACTAATTGAAATTTGATTTTATTTACAATGGTAGAAAACAAGTGGGAACTTAAAGCAAATATTTATGTTTTTATTATAACTAATATGACAATACAATAGCTGAATAAAATGTTTAAAATTACCTTATTCTCTCAGTTCTAAATCAATAGACCTTAAATATAGAGCCTTTAGGATATTTTTTTGTTCAGTAAAGTCTAGGGATGAGATTTTTTTTCTGAAGAGGTTGATTGCAGCGTAGAAATCAAAAAGGATCTAAAAAGTCTCAAAAACGGTAAAGAAAAAAAATTTCATTCACCCCCGAGTTATACTTTCAGCAAAATTTGTCAAATCAGAGATGCCCAGAAGAGAATTTCGCGGAGCGGGACATTGAGATGGGGTTATGAATTTTCAGAATGAAAAGTTTCAAACGTGGAACAAACCGCATCAAGTGTAATTGTGTTTGATTGACGACTTTTTTAAATTCTTTTGCTTGTACTGTTTTTAAAAAGAGGAGAGGAATGAGATATCTTGGAAGGTGAAAGATGTTGTTTACGGGCCATTGACTTTGGTGGGGACGGGATGGGCACCTCTGGTCAGAATCCAATATTTGAATTAGAATAATTATAGAGGATTAGAACTTAAAAAAAAATATTTTTCTCTAATAACCTGAGCTTATATAAGTAATAAATTCAAGTTTATACTGATATTTAACTTGGCACTTAGACTCTTTTGTATTTCTATTCTTAAAAGCCGAAATATGGTTAGTTATAGGCATAAAGGATAAGTGAGTAGATAATTTAATGAATTAGCATGGCTCCAGCTTAGAAAACCTTAATTATGAAAAATTCCTTTTGGTAGCCCTTGTAGAGATGTGTAGAGATTTTTTTTTCTTACTCCTGAAATAATGTCTTATTGTTTTGTTTCAGTTTTAGCCCCAGCGACAGTAAATTTGCTTCTTGTTCCGACGATGGAACTATAAAAATCTGGGATTTTTATAGGTGTCAAGAAGAAAGAACATTACGAGGTATGAGATTGATTTGATATTTTCCAACTATGTACTAATTTAAATACTTAATTTTTCTACAGAGTAGCTCTTAAAGGTAGCATTAATTAATATTGTTGGAACTATATTATTGATAATATATTTATCATATAAAATTAACTATTTTATTGATAATTGGTTGTACAACATAGTGTAGCAATAAGGAGAATAGTTCATGCCTGTGGTAGAAAGATTTCATTCACACCATATTTACAGAAAATATTTAAAAAATATATAATAATAGCAAAATAATGTTGATATTAAATTCATATTCTGCCTTTAATTGTATTATATTCATAATTATGATAATTAACTGTATTAGGTGCAATAACAATTGTGCAGTATACACGGAATAAAATAATAAGAAAAATTAAATTATAAGAAATTTGATAAACATTTTTAATCACTTAATAAACAAAAAATTAATAATGTTCTTGAAATTCATAATATTGAAATTAAAACTCACACGACTTTCCTAACAAGTGTTGAAGCAATGATCAACATAAAAATTGTTAGCTGTTGGTATTTTTGTTAGTATTGAGTTATAAAATTTATTTTAAAGTTTGGCTCTCGTAGTCGATTTAATCATCTTTCAATCAAGCATCTGATGTATTCTAAGTGAACTTTTTACTTCAAGTTATCCAAGGAACTTAAGAAAAGTAAATAGATTTTTCTATGAAAACTTGTGCATAATACTTTAAAAACATGGGCACAAAAACAAGTTCACCTCATCATATCTTTGAATTTTTTTTTTGTTTTGTAGAGAATTTAATTATCTTTCAAATAATTAAATATACCTTTTCTCAGCTATTTACAATATGTGAAAATTTAAAGGGCTTTGAGGAGAATAATTTAGGCTAACCAGATGATAAACTGAATTTTAAAGGTATGAAATCATCACAAGTTTGTGTCTTGATGTCAGGGGAGAGCGAAGGGGAAGAGGCTTTTAATATCACCCCCTGGCTTGGGAAAACCCCGTACAAAGCGAGGACGGGAAGGACGAAAAAAAAAGGCCAATGACCCAAAATTGCGTGTTTAGACTCTGTGCCCCGTCATTTCAGTGGATCTATTGAAAACTTCAAATATAAAAAAGTTGACCTCATTGCGATACTTTTCTTACCTAGCAATAGAAGGAAAGTAAAAAATAAAAGTTTTCCAGTAAATACCACAATACTAGTTGTACTGTAGAGGTTTTTAGTAGGTGGGCCATGTTATCTAGTAATATCTAACCTCTTTAAGATGTTTCTTTACTTGAGGATGGCTTAATTTTAGAGAATCAGGAAATTTCTTGATCAAATAATTATTAATAATTTTTACTCTATTCATTATTTGATAAACTCAAACTAAAAAAACTAATTGACAATTTAAATTTTTAATAACAATTCCAAAATAAATCTGATTGATGTCCTGTTTTAAGGCAGCCAATGGCGACCACTCTAAATGTTACAATGGAAGTTTAATCTTAGACTTCTTGGAGTGAAGGCAATTCCTAAATTGATAATCATTCCACTTCATGATTCCACATTTTACCTATAGATAGTTATTAATGCTCTTACAGATCATGTTGAAAAAAATTATGAATTTGTAAATTCCAGGGGTTAATAAAAATTATCTCTGATTATTAAGAAAATTATCATTACAATTAACAAGTGGGTAGAATAAACAATTTTGCTTCCAACAATACCTTATAGATAATATGGCATGGTATAGTTGAGGGCTGGTGAAATTCCAGCCACATCTTTTCATTGCAAAAAACCCACATAGTGTCTCACAATCACAATTTTTTCTTGTGGTGTGAAACCAGGAGCAGAATGATCGTCAATTCCCGTTTTTAGAATTTGAATTAATTTTCATATCTTTTTTTTAAGGTCATGGAGCTGATGTGAAATGTGTTCATTGGCATCCGCAGAGAGCCCTGATTATATCAGGGAGCAAGGACAATCAACAGCCTGTAAAGCTATGGGATCCAAAAAGTGGCACGTCACTTGCTACCATGTAAGTATTAATTTTATTTTCCTTCTTATTAATTCCTTTCCGATTCTAATAGATTTCTTTCCTTTTTTTCAGACATGCGCACAAGAGCACAGTCATGGACGTGAAATGGAATAATAATGGAAACTGGTTCGTCACCGCTAGTAGAGACCACTTGTTGAAATTATTTGATATCCGAAATGTAAATACTGAAGTGCAAGTTTTTCGGGGGCATAAGAAAGAAGCTAGTAGTGTAGCTTGGCATCCAATACACGAGGGACTGTTTTGCAGCGGCGGTTCAGATGGGGCGATACTCTTTTGGCATGTTGGGTTAGTTATAATGATTTTGGTATTTCTGAATATTTTAAATTATATAAACTAGTGTCAAATCATCTCTTTGAATAAACCATTAATCATTGGATAATGATTTTTATGGCCCTAATTAAAAAAAAATAATAATAATGAAAGAGAACTTAGTTGATACAGTTGTAGACTGATCAAATAATTTTCTTTGAAGGTATTTAGCTATGAGAAGGGAAATAGTTGCCAAAATTAGTTAAATTTAAATACCTCAGTTTTGTAAAAATCTCTATAAATGATCAATGGTCAGAAACAGAAACGGTCTTCTCTCCATCAAAGGTATTGAAATTCCTTGAAATCTCTATAAATCTTGAATGAAGGGTGTAAAATGCTATGATAAATCCAGTTCTGATATATGGCTGTGAGACCTGGGCACTAACGACCATCTTAAAATGAAGTATTGAAGGATTTGAGTGGAAAATCTTCTGTACAATAATCTTAGCAATCTGGGATCAGGGAACTGAGAGATAGAGATGGGCAGTTCTCTTATTACTTTCATGATTTGAGTACTTTTCTTAAGAAAAGGTAACGAGTAGTCTCTTTATTTGGCTCGATCTCAGCGAGTATTTAGAATACTCACACTGCATTAATCATACGTTAGTTAAGTACAGAAAATACTCGTGGTGTTATATCCGATTACAGAAAGCACTCAGCAAAATTCTTCTGAGTACTTTTTTATTTTTCAACTACATCATTATTATTAGTATAGATATTTACTTATAATTCTTTAAATAATTAATAATAAATAATAACTTAATTGTTGAAAAGGAAGCCTTTTCGCATGCTTCTGTGAACCATATCTTAGCTTTTAGTTTCTCCTGAATCCTAATCACTTCCTTAGCTGTTGCTTTTAGTTCTTTCTCTATTTCCTCCCAGTATTGATCAATCGTGAGGCTATCCAAATATTTTATTATTATATTTTTATTGATAACAGAAGATAAAAAAAAAAATGTTGATTTCAGTGCTGAAAAAGAAGTTGGTGCTATAGAACAAGCTCACGATAGTATTGTTTGGACTTTAGCCTGGCATCCGATGGGTCATATTCTATGTAGTGGAAGTAACGACCACACCAGCAAGTTCTGGACGAGAAACAGACCTGGTGATTCAATGAGGGACAAATATAATCTTAATACGATACCTGCATCTCTTTCAGGACTTGAAGAAGCTGAAATTGGTAAATAAATCATATATTCTAGTTGTTTTTTTTTCAAAACATAATTTCCATCCAAAAAATTTTCTAATTATTCAAAATCACAAAAAAGAAATGTTAATGATGATAGAATATGTGTATATTGATGATTAAAAATATGGAGTAGTAATTACATTATTACAAAGTTTGTTCAGTAGAAATTCCTGTATTCATGTTACACCTCTATTTAGCAGAAGTTGGCTGATGTAGTCAAAGCTGAAAGTACAATAACAATTTAGAAGATTTCTAACACATTTTTTTTATCATCTTAATCAATGGCGGATCAAAGGCTTTCGGGGTGAACCAAAAACTGTTTTGAAAAATCATTATTTTTCATAAACATTTACAGCTACGAAGTTTAAGCATGTGTCAAGAAAAATATATTAAAAATTTATCTCTAAAAGCGTTATTGTTCCTTTGATTGATCATTTTTTATTACAGTTTTTTAATAGTATTTTTAAGGACTACTTAAACAGTATTTTTTATATTTTCTTTCTTTTTCTCCCAGAGTAATTGCCATTATATATTAAACTATATAAATTTAAATAAAAAGAAAAAAATTAAATCCTATTTCCGTTGCCGCCTCCTTTGACTCTACCTCCAAACAATTTCTTCTACAAAATGATCTACAGTCAACTGTATCTCCACCTTTATTTATTTTAGAATAGTCAGTTATAGAAAATAGATCTTGAATCTAGTTTAAAAAAATCATTGTAAACTGACCTGCAATTTTCTTTCTCTAGTCGTTGTTTTTAATAATTATTGCTTAGATCTAAAAACTATGTATTTATTTTGAATTTATATTTTATTTATTTATAGATGAAGTTCAGTCTGTAATACCTGGTATGGGACCGGAAGATAAAGTTGAAGTTAATACCTCACCTCTTCCTGGCCTAACTCCTGGCTCAATTCCTGGTCTGGACGACTTGGATTTATCTGCAGAAGATAAAGGAAAAACTCCATCTAAAAAGGTATTAAAACTTAATTTGACTGACATGTGGTTTGATTTTGAATATGAAAAAAAAGACAATGCTTTTGTTTTATTACCTAATTCTTATGATTTTATGAACAAGTTTCATGATCTGTTTGTTTTGGATCGATTACTATAATGTGACCATGAACAGTAATTTTTATATAGGTCATTTTTCTTTTATATTTTTCTTCTTAGTTTTTTTTTTTAATGTGTAAGAAATTGCCTACGTAAGGATATCTACGATAATATAAGAACTAGACTTTTGAGTGTTTTAGTGCTTTCTTTTTACCATGTTATTCTCATGTGATAATTTGTATTCAGGTGCCCTATTCCAAACCTATACCAAAGAACTTTCAAGCTCACTGGAATGATACTGGAAAGTTGGAAGATTTAGGTAAGTTCTATGAAGTTTTTAATTTAATTTTATGAATGAATTTTATTGGATAATGTATCCGAGTATGTATTGGATTAGCATACAGATTCTTATTCCAACTTGACACGTTTAATTTTTTCCAAGGAGGCTAGGACCCAGTCATGGGTTATTGTAGCGATGTAATAGTACAAAATAGTTAGGCATGGCCAGCGTGGAAACAATAATAATTAAACACTCCCTGAGCCCATTCAATCCTACAATGAATGTTTGACATCAGTCAAAGAATAAATCAGACGTTCAGTTCTGCGTCATTCTCATTCAAGTATAATTCCAAAGATGACATCATAGTATATTATTGCTGATTACTGAGATACATATTTTATTTTTTGCCAATTCTTGTAAGACTAAAAGTTTTAGGATGATGTTAACCTTTTAGCGACGACAAGTGGGAAGAGTGTAGAGGCCTTAAGGATGGAAAACTTTTCATCACCTCTACTCACCACATAAGCATATTTATTTAAAGCATTTTTCTAAAATGCCCATAATCTCTAGTGATAGAAAAATTATGTACTGCCTTATAGACAGACTGTGAGATATTTTGAAACTAGAATTCATCAGTTAGCAATATTTTTTAAACCCAAGAAGAGTGCCGCTAATTTTTGTTAGCCTGGCAAGGATGCCGTGGCAGAAAAAATATTTAGAACCACTGGCCTAGTTTGTTAAAGCGCCTTTAGCAACCTTGAGTCAAAAATGGGACCAGTTCGATTCCTGGCCCAGGAGTAAAAATAACCATTTTTGTTGTAATGTATATAATAAACTAAATAAATGCTTTCCCTGATCACTAGAAGAGCCGACATTTATTTTGTAGTGGACTGAGTGAATGAAACTTGACTATCTCGCTCTAGCTAAAATATGTCTTGTAGGACAACCGCCTCATATGCCAGAAATGGGGATAAAAGGGAAAAAACAATATATATTGACACCTAAGAACAAGTCTTACAGATGAAAACATTCACTCTGGTTCAAGTCAAGAATATATATTTTTTTCTGTAGGTTTACAACAACCCTTTATAAACCCCTTGAAAAAAAAAAGTCACAATCCTACTGTTTCATGTCCAAGTTTATATCTTTAATTATAAAAAATCTCATTAGTTGAAAATGTGTTACGTGAAATATATAAATAATTTATAATAGTATATTATGAGCTATGTTAAATTTTTCAAGTTATTATTTAGATGATGACAGCAGAGATGGGCTGGACCCAATAGCTCTCATCAATCAACTTATCGAACAACAGCCTGGTGTGAAACTTGTCAAAGATTTAGAACCTGAGGCCTTATACATTTATGGAAAAGTTCTGACAGTCGAGCGTAAGGAGCAGTCATTTGTTTAGCATGTGCTTTTGGTGGTTGTGCATGATTCGCTAATGGATTAAGCTTAATCTGAAAATTGCTTAATTCCTACAAGTTATATATTTTAATTCTGTTGTTTTTTTTCCTATAACAATTCTTGTTGATAACTTTTGCTTTAACATTGGTTTGTTATAGTTAGCATGATATAGTTCTTCTCCCTTGATAAGTTCCTCTTTTATGCTTGATGTATTTTGCTATTTTGTTCTGGGTATTTTTTAAAATTTATTTTATTTATGAGCTATTTCAAATTATTTATTTTTATACTTTTGTATACTGCAGCTGGTTCAGCCCTGGCAAAAGCAATTTCTGAAGGAGGAGAGAAGCTTATGAAATACCTCAATTCCGGAGCAGTGAAAGAACTAAGAGATGTTATTCCGCATTATGATGATAACGCTGACACATTCATTGGAGATAGTGATCCTGATGAAAACGATCAGGTTAGTATTTTTTGGTATAATAATGAAAATTAAACAATCTTAATTTGGTTATTTATTTTTAGTAGAACTTTTGTTTGATTAATACAGTTAAATATATAATAGATTAAGGTTTAAAAAGACCACAATATTACCACAAATATATTTCACTAAAAAAATATCTTAATAATAAGAAAAAAATGTTTTATTATATAAATTATATAACAATTCAGTTTTTATTAGCCATTTTTCAAATAATATAAATTAAAATAACTGTTAAAAACATTAAAAAGCAATATAGTATTCTACATATTGGCAGTATTTTTTCATGTAAAATTTATATGAAAATTAACATTTTATAATACGCCAGTACCGCTTTTCTGGCGCCTAAGTGCATTTTCTTTGAAACTGCTTCAAATATTTAAAAAAAAAAAAATCAGTTTTAGAAAAAAAAAAACATTCTCCAGATGTTTTATTCCAGCATGTTTTGCGTTATTGTTGACTGTTTAATTACAAAGAACGCTTGATTTTCCACTTGAAATTTTTTTCGTTAAAACAATTGACTTTACTGGCGTCTTTATTGCCTAAGCAAATTATTTTTAATATGAAAATGTTTTATTATTCTCTGACTACGTAGCTTTAATAAAAGCCAAACCATGACGAAATTAAGCCAAATGCTGATTCTCAGTGACCAAAAAACTAACTAAAGTCAAAGTCGTCATTCTGCCATGTTTGGATTCACTTTTTTCTAAGGGAACATTGCCTTTTTTTTTAATAAATAGTCACAAGGAACATAACGATATGCAATTTATAGGGATGTGGGAGGGGGGACGTGCACGGTAGGGGGGTCTGGCCCACAGACTATAAGTTCTATGCCATTTGTGGGAAGAAAACGCCTGGATTTGTAGCAAAACAATTTATAGCTTTTGTACGATAAAAATGCACCTTTACTTATTTTATTGCTTTTTCTTGAATGATTGGTGAAATGTAACACCTTAATGATGCCTTAGCCTCTATATTCACCTGATGTGGCCCCATGTAACTTTTCCTCATTTGCATAAATAAAAAGAGCCTTAAAAGGCTATCATTTGCTAAACAAAGATGTGATTAAAAACACGTTGTTGCGAGAGCTAAATGCTGTTTCAAAGATTGAGTTCCAGAAGTGTTTTGGGGACTTAAAGAAGCACTGGCATAAGTGTTTAATGTCTAATGGGGACTACTTTAGAGGTGATAATGTTTTTTGTAGATGAATTGAAAAAAAATTTTTTTTCAAAAAGTAGCAATTCCCATTACTTTTCGAATATACCTCTTATATTCCTGCCTGACTTAATCATGCAATTTAATTAAATTTCAAAGTTTTGGAATTTCAGATATAATCAATATATACATATATATGGAGTGGTTGATTCATAACCAACTTTATAATGCCATGCATTTTTTATTAAAATATTAATGTTTATATATTTTTAAAACTCGTAAAATAATTGTTACTAACATTATGTTCGTAATAGCAGGAAATGGAAATCATAGAAGATGTTGGACCACCGCCATTACCTATCACATCTAGTCCCAATCCAAACCCACCTGTGCCAATGCCTCCTGGTAAGTATTATATTATTTTACTGAATGCACTGTTCAAATTGTACTCTTGATTTCTTCATGGATTTGTAAGTAATGTATTTATAACAAATAGTTTGTCGCAGAATATGTTGTGTGTGTACATTTGCTTGCATAATGATTCTTCAATATACCTTGTAAGCACTTACCTCATACACTCCTTGTAGGGCATAATTAGTGAACAATACAAAAATTATTTTTTTAACTTTATATTTATTCTTTTCGTTGTTAACTAAATAGTTTCAGGGTTCTAATAATGTTTTGAACTTAATTACTAATAAAATACTATTAGCTCGCCATTTTGTTCAAACTGACAGATAGTAATGTTGAGTTGCTAAGATTATCCTGGAATAATAATAATCTCCTGGACACTGCAGTCTCTGTTAAAAATGGTGGACGGGCGATTTTTTAAAAAATATTCTTGATTGTAGGTTAAAGAGCTTAAAACTTAAAATCTCAAATTTTAAGAGGTGGTGGGTCAATTCAAATTTTGGTTTATTATTTTCAATAATCGACATAGAAAAAAAGGAAAAATTAATGCCTCCACAAAATTTGAGGTTTTACGTTTCAAGATACATAGAATCCGAAAATCGAGTAAAAAAAAAAAAAAACCATATGTACACCCTTCACAACTTTTCCTCAAAACTACTTGCCCGATTGTTTTGAAATTTTTATCATTGTCAAAAGGCATCTGAGGATGATTCTCAGAACTTGGCCCCACCATTACCAATCCGAATTTTTCTTTCAAGATGTCTACCAAAAAATGTGTTTAGCTATAGACTGTAGTGCCTAAACTAATAATATACTTCATTGAAAAACACTTTTCTTTTAATGTGGTGGCCAAAAATCCTGTTCTGTATAGACTATAGTGTCTAAACGAATGTACTGATTTCAATGAAACTTGGCTATAGTCTTATCCTTCGAAACTCTAAATTTATCCATACACCAAAGTAAAAGAAGCTGAAAAAAATTAAAAGGGGTCGTAAAATTATATTTCCAAATAACTTAAAAAGTATACACTTTTTTTGTGATTTTTATAATCAGGTTTTTCAAAACTAATTTAAATTTCCTAAGAAACAAAAAAGTTTCTTCAAAATCAGAGCACTATAGGTAAAGATATTAAATCTTTAGTTTTTATAAATCTTTTTGGTTTAGTATTTTCCATAATCAACCTTTTTAAGTGACCGAGAAAAAAAAAAAAAGTTCACACCCCTCAAAATTTGAGGTTTTATGTTTCTTATTGTTTTTAATACTATCTTTTACATAAAATATAGTTACTCATTTTTTAATGTATTCAATTATCAGAGACTGGTACATAGATGTTTTGTTTTATTTTACTTTTTTGTCCATCCCTTCCTCATCATTTAGGCTAGACAGGATTTTTCTTTGACCAATTGAGAGGGGAGAGAGGAGTTTATGTCAGAGTTAACCAGAGGAAAAATCTAGCTTAAAAAATAAAGATACTAAAGACAAACTTTGTTATTATACTTTATACCAAAAATATTAAATGCATTACCCATTTTGTCAAATGTTCATATCTAGTTAGAGCCTCAGCCTCTATCACACAGACTACTTTTAGTTTAAAGTGATTAACATTTCCTTGACATTTGAATTCTAAATAAACTTTTTAGTAATGTTGCTACCTTCCCTCACGTCTTCAAACTATGATCATAAATGCTAGTATTTTTATACAGACAATGAATGGTTTGATATTGAGTATTTCTCATTAAATTGTTATTTTTTATATATACTTATACCTGTTTTTAGTGAATTCAGGCCCACCTGCTACGGCACCAACTATGAACCTTCCTCCTTTGATGGGCGTCGGTGTTGGGTCTGCTCCCGGGCCGGGACCTGGACCGGTACCTGGTCCGAGAATGTTCAACAGTGCGCAACATAATAGTTACCAGCCTCCGGGGATGATGGGTGGTCCTTACAACCAGCCCCCACCTCCGTCGATGCAGCAGCCATACGAGATGTACCGAGCGCCTCCACCACCCCCGCCTCAGCAGCAACCCCCTTATGATATGCACAGAGAAAGGCGACCACCAAATTACTGGCAAGAAGGCGAATTTGATGATAAAAGAAGTGAGGATTCAAGAGAAGCTTGGGACGAAGAAGAAGATTATCAAGAAAATGGTTATAGGGAATATCAGGAACGCCCAGCTTACCCACAGCGAGGCAATTATTCACGAAACAGAAGAGGGTGGTACAGAGGATCGAGGCAGCAAAGAGGTCTTACCCACTAGATTTGTTTTGTGTAAGTATTAATTCATTTTAATTCGCCAAAGGAATTATATAACCAAGTTTAAGGTGTATTATAACTATGTATAAAAATTGGTGATACGAGACTCCTTCAGAAAGTTTATATGATATTGTATATATTATATGTATCTATATGTCTGATGTTGATAATTTTTCTTTATGAATTTTTGAACCCATTCAAAAGTTTCCATTATTCTTTATATTTATAAATGGGATTCCCTCCACGATTTGAAATGTTATAAATTATTGTTTTTAATTTACAACATTTATAAGAATTCTTTTCTGCTCTGCAAATTGTATTTTCTTACTATTAATAATGGTTTGGTTTTATAAAACAATTATTATCATTGTTTTGGAAGTTTATTTTATTTTATTCAAATGGATGTGTTATATTTTAATTAATTAATCGGAATTTTCATATATGTTTCTATTTTTCATCCTTTAATCTGTATTTAAATATAGTTGTATATATGTTAGCATCTGATCATCTGGAATTGTTCAAATAGATTTTTTAATAACACATATTTATTCGTAAGTAATTAAAAGGTTTTTGAAATATAAATTTTTACGTATGTGTAAGTATGTTGTGTTGTTGAAAAAAGAAAATGTGTTCTATTTCTTTATGACTTAAAAGAGTTCCTATACCAAATTTCTGCAACCTAAATCACCTCCAGAGTTAGTTATGAAGTAATGTTATAAGGGCATCTTTAAATAGTTTTTAGTACGTTTAATGAGGGAGATGTATTACGGAGCCTCAATTTCGGTCTGTGATAGGTAATATTTATTTCATTGTAGACCCAGGGAATATAACTTGACTTTCCCATTCTGGTTAGTAGAAATAATCTATATATAATAGTTCACATTACATACTCCTTTTAATTAAATTATTAACTCTATAACTTAATGAATGATTTCATCTTATCTTAACCTACAACTTTTGTTTTTATGGAAATTTTTAATCTGGAGAATGTTAAACTTTTCCTATTTTATGAGGTACTATAAACTCACGAACACACATTTGCTTTCCACTTGAATTATATGATAATTCTTGAAGGAACTTAGTCGACTGTACTACATATCACAGCAGCTAAATAATCAGGAAGCAATCATTTTTGAGATTTTTTTATTGTTGCCGATATTTCAACCCAAACGTGTGGGTTATCATCAGGCTTACATTAGACGTACCTACTACCTAGGTGCCAGTACTTGAGCACCTTCAGTACTGAAAACATGCCCTAATGATGACCCACATGTTTGGGTTGAAACATTGGAAACTATAAAAAAAATCACAAAAATGACTGCCTCCTAATTATTTATCTCCTGGTATATGATAATTCAATCACGAAATCGAGAAAAAGATGGCGTATAACAATATTAGGCCGTACGGCCTGATCTCAGTTCCCAAAATGTCAAAATATGAGTTTATATAGAGCAAGACTCCAATATTTTTGTAGACCACCTTTTTTCTCGATTTTGTGATCAAATTATCTTACAATTGAAGTAGAAAGCAAAAGGAGATTCATGAGTTTTTAGTACCTCGTTAAATTAACAAACTTATTGAGAAAACACAAATTTTCAAGTTTTAATTGGAATTTAAAAATATGATTTAAAGGGGTCTGTACCGTAGACAATAAAGGACCATTGCAGTATTAATTAAAGTGTATGCCACATCATATGCATCAACTTCTGGGTGCAATTTTTTGTTAATGATTTATATGCTGAATATTTCTTTGTGTGTTGGCAAAGCAGTCATAATGAGTATATTTGATGTTAAAAAATCTTGGGCTTACCGGATGAAAATTTACTGTTTATTATTGAAGGAAGCTAGTTGACTATTCTACATATCATGGGTGATAAATAGTCAGGACGCAGTCCTTAAAAAAAAATTTCTTTTTGTGCCAACGTTTCAATCCAAAAATGTGGGTCATCATCAGGGCTGAAAATTTCAAAATACAATCACAGATATAATATTATACGACCGATAATGGTAAATAATAAACTATATTGATTTGATGGTACATGAATCTTAACAATTATTACAACACACAATATTAAAAATAAAATATGTAAAAAGTTATACAAACTAAAATAATATATATGATATATTTATAAAAATTTGTAATATTTTTTCTTACTAACCGTGGTTCGAGCCCTGAAGGCTTTCAAGTACTGACACATGCTAGGAAAGTGAAAAGCTTGGGGGAGGATTTCCCAGTTGTCCTTTTTCAGATAGCAAAAGGTAGGTAAATATAGTCAGAGGAGGGGAGCGAGGTAACATTTCTGTTAGTAGAATGTAAATAATTTGCTGACTAAATATTTAAGATGTGTACAAGATTTGCGTTGTTTCTTATGGTTACAGAATTGTGAATATTGGCTAGTAATGAAATGAACATAAGCAAGAATAAACATAAGAAAAAATAAACAAATTTTTTTAATGACTGCGTCCTGACTATTTATCATCCACTTTACTGTTTATTGTTTTTATGAAACTCGATCTTTACAGTTGGTTTAATCTATTTAGAGGAGTTGCCTTAAATATTTGAGAATTTCTACTTACTTAATCCAGCCCTCTATTACTGCCGAGCGATGCGAGGTTCCTTCCTACAAAGCCTAATCCAGGAATTTCTGTCCTGACCCTGCTGCCTTTTCTTCCTCCAGTTCATCCCAATCCTGTCAAAGGCTTCTTTGATTCCTTCTTTCCTGGTCTTTCTTGGTTTTCCCTGTGGCTGCCTTTTCTCCACTTTAACCTCGTAGGCAGCCCTGGCAATTCTGTCTTTAGCCATTCATGAGACATGCCTAAAACATGAGTTAGTTCTCTTAAATTATTTCTTCTCCAGGCCTCGGGTCCAAGTTTGCTCTTGTAGTGTTCCCCGCGCGATTCCTTCTTGTTTTAGTTTTTTTTCTATTCGTGGATTGGTTTGTTATTTGTTCATTATTTAAATTTTTATTAGTATTATCTTGGCAAATTTGTTTTTGTACCATCATTTTGCAATTAGTCTTAGAAGGTACCAATTTTTCATAGTATTTTAAAGATTTTTGTATTTTTATTTCATCATTATGGATGTCTAATTTACCTTAATCATAAAATTTGTTGGTACATTAAATTTTTAGTGTGGACTGTGATTAATACGGGGATTGAGAATTATATTACTAGTTTTATATATTTTGTGTCAGGAGGTAGTGAGTAGATCTAATTTCTTTCTATGTGTAATGATGTCTAAAAATTGGATTTTGATACGTCTTGTGTTCAATTTCTTCTGTAAATTTAAGTTTTTTCGATTAGATGTATATAATTTTTAGAGAAAAAAAAATTATTTATTTATAATAGAAAAAGTACAGGTTGTGTCAATGGCTTTACCTCAACACATTTTTTAAATTTCAATTCATTAACCTCAAAAACCACTTTGCTGAGTGCAATATAACAGATAGCCAAGAAATAATTTCACAGCTATTTTGGATTTCTAAACCCTCACTCCAAATTCTTAGTCTTAGATCTTTGTAAACTGACCCTAATGAAGATTGAAAGGTTTCATAACCATCTGTTATTGTTTGGTTTTTAAATATTCTATGGGAGGAACAGAAGAAAAGTTGTTTTTCCTGTTAGGATGAGAGATTTTTTTGTTTTTTCCAAGTTACTCATGATTGAAGGCTCACGCAAATATTTTTAATCAGAAGAATGACTAAAACACTGGGTGAAGCATCGACACATAAAATAGTATACTAAAATTTAATATGTGTTTTATTTCTTACCTAACTCCCAACCATGATCTCCTAAAAAGTTATTTCATCATAAAAATTGGTCCATTGGTGTGTATGAGCTTCTCACCCTTATGTAAGTAATTGAGGAAACGTTTTGAATTTCTTTGATTTAGGTAATGAACAAACTTTTCAAGTTAACTTTAGAAAAAATAAAAATAAATAAATACAATGAAAAGCTTTACGCACACGTCATTCTGCTACGAAGCATTGCATTGCTGTGGAAGATTAGAAGAGTGGAGAAGTGGAGACAGAATTTACTAACTGGAGGAGTTATAGTTAGTTTAACAATGTATTCTTATGTTGCAATACTTCCATGGCATACAGACCCAAAATTTATTGATTCTTCAAGACTATATCATATTGCTACAAGGATGATTTAAAATAAATGGAAAATAAAACAATGAAAAATCTCACATACCCCTCCTTATCCACTTTCTCCTGAAATATTTTCTTACCTTAACATATATTATTTGATTTGCATTATTTATTAATATGATTATTTAGCTTGATTTCTAAGTGTATTTATTGAAATTTTAGTTATTTTTAGTAAATTACCTTACACTGCTCACTATGATATTAAAACCATTAATATTTTTAATGTGTAAGTAATATTTGAATTGTACTTTCAAAAATGATCTAAACTGACTATGAGTTGAAATAACAACCTTTTTAAAAAAATAATATACACATTAATTGCTTTTAATTTATATTTTCTTAATTGTGCTATGAAAGTATAAAGATGTGTTTAGACATTTCATAAACTATGGTGGAAACACTGGGTTTTAATTTCGGTTTAACAAAAGATTTAATTTCGGGGGGAGGGGACTGCAGCTGGAAAGATTTTTTTTCATATACATATAAAAATAATTAATTAGAAAAAAAAAGAAATTAACTACCTATATGAAATGGTGTTTAAGTGGTTCTTGAAGTCCTATTAAACGTAATTAGTGAACAAAAATGCTTCAAGAGATAGTTTTTAATATTTTTTTTTTGGGGGGGGGGAGGGCCTCAGCCTGAAAGCCCTTGTCCTCCCCCCCCCACTACCGTTGATCCGCCTGTGATGGGAAACAAAATTATCTAACTTAACTTACAGCGACAGTATTAGCTATTATATTTAGGAAAAGTCTCCGAATCAGGACGTTTTCAATCTGGTGATCGTTTGAACTTTTGAAACTTTGTCTCTTTAATTAGTTATAAACACATCTGAATCGTTTTTTTCATAACAACAAATTACTTGGCCTTTATTTTACTGGAAGCGTCTATGGGTTTTTGTTATTTTTTAAATACAAGAAATAGTTTAATACAATTAGCAATATCGTTTTCTTATTTTTCACCAAAAAATAGTCGATTGATGCATAATGACAGGGATATGTATGCAGATGAAAGTCAGATGACAGTATTACAAAAAAATAATAATTTGTTTTCTCGCCTCCTAGGACCCATTATAAGAACCCTCGGACATGCGTCTATTATTTTTCGACCTAGTATCACCAGTTTCATTGAAATTAGTGACCCTTAACAAATGAATTTAGTTTTGGGGGTGATGACGTCATTGCCCGAGGGCGCCGAATGTCTGAAGGAACCTTTACATGGTCAATATGTAATATATTGGGAAAATCATAATTACTTTTGTAATATGTATACCACATTCGATTATATTGACCGTGTAAGGTGGGCTAAAGGTGTAAACTGAACTGAAATATTGTCTTGAATTTAATGTTGATGTGTTCACTAAAGCAATTTTGGATTACTTTACTAGATACTAGCGTATCCAGAATTTAATTTTGGAGGGCTTCAGCCCGAAAGATTTTTTTTTCATAAATCTTCATAAAAATTAATTAAA